ACTTTGCGATACATTTGACTCGTTTGACTTATCTCAGTTTAATTTTCATGTCAATTGTTGCAATAATGTTCTCGATCTATGTTTTTCAAACAGTGATAATATAAAAATTAAGAACTGTGATGCACTCTGCAAATTAGATTTATACCATCCCCCGTTTACTTTTACTATATATAATTGTGATATTTTTAATGATGCTTTTTGTGATATTTACTATGATTTTAAAAATGCTATTTATAATGCTATTTATGATTATTTATCGTCTGTTAACTGGTCCTTTATTGTCGACTGCTCCGATATTGATGATGCCGTTTATTTATTTTACACTTATATCTTTCATGCTTGTGACAAATTTATTCCGCTTAAGAAAAGATTTAATATTCGCTTTTCTGCTTGGTTTTCTCATCGCACTCGTAAATTAATTGATTTAAAGCGATCTGCTCATAAACGATATAAAATTAGTGGAGAGTTTAGTGATTACTTAATTTTTTCTAAACTTAGAAGTGAATGTAAATCTGCTATTTGCAGTTCTTATGCTTTTTATGTTCGGCGCACTGAAAATGCTATTAGGTATAATCCTAAGAAATTTTGGGATTTTGTTAAAGCTAAATCTAACTGTAAACATCTTCCTAATTACATGTCGTATGGTGGTAATGCAGTTTCTGGAATTGAAAATAGTATTGATAGCTTTGCCAAATATTTTTTTTACACATATACTAAATCTAATAATTTTCATTTGAAAAATTATAATCCTCCAATGTCCATAACTGTCGATTTGTACAATGTTTGTATTTGTAGAGACTCAGTGTTGAATATGTTAAACAAACTGGGTGGTAAAAATTCAATTGGTCCAGATGGTCTTCCACAGTCATTTTTTAAAGCATGCGGATCATCTTTCGCTTTGTGTTTGTTCAATTTATTTATTGTTTCGCTTAACTCCGGTAAATTTCCTACTCTCTGGAAATCTGCTCATGTTGTTCCTCCAGTCCAGTGTCAAGCGCATATGACGTCAACTGTGTTATCAGTGTTGATAACTATGGCACTATTTACACCTAGACAGATCATTTCAAATATCTGAAGAAATGTCCACGATCTGAAAGGGGAAAACAGCACAAAAATAAGACATCGGTCTTATTTTACAACCTAACGGGGGAGGAGTTACATTAATGAGTGGAACTTTGATTTGTATTTGTTTGTTCACTGATATTTACTTTCTTCTGTTAGAGCTGGGGTCTCTCACGCTCAATTATCTTTGTTCACATTTATTATCTTCACTTCATAAGAACAAAATTTATTACATATAATATCTTAAGTCTCAAGTCTGGGTTAGCATTGTAATTGGTAGGGAATAAAAATTCTTTGTTGAAAGTTCCTTTTTAATTCCATAACTTGCACTTGTTATATAACTAGAAGAACACCGGCTTCCAGGAACCTGGAACTTTTTGATGTCCTATCGATCACCAACTTCAAAAATTTTCACCTTCCCAGTGTTAAACTTGGTCAGATCCTGATGTCATTTTATTTTTCATTTTTTGTAAAACAGTGTATAGAAACTGGGGTACAATGATAAGATAATGTTAAAGCAGACAGATTAGATGGAATATATTTTTTAAATACATCATCTAATGAATAAAACTATGTTCGTGAAACCACTTATTACATTATTGTTGCAAACCATCAATTTTGATGTACTTTTTTTTCATTCTTAATATAGCAACAAAAAACATTTTGGTTACAATGTTTTGAATATGCCGAGAAAGCAATCAAAAACGCGATCAAAGACAGCCATGGGTCTTTGAATCTTTGTCTTTGATACAGTTTTGGTCTTGTCAGCTTACTTTCAATTTGATAGTTTGAGTTGAAAATGCAACAATCAAAGTCAAATTTTCAAAAATCTTTCATTGTGTTTTTATCGCTCTTTTGGAATGAATGCGAACTTTCTTTTAACTCTAGACAACAGGTCTACCATTCAAAATATTATCATTCATACGAAACTCAATTGTAATGACAAAATACGTGGTAACAGCAGCCACCATCTACAAACAAATCAATTTCAAACAAATTTTACACTATTTGAGCATAGCATACCATACGCATAAAACTTTCATCTAAACTAAAAAAATTCCTGGCGGTGAAACGTAACTTGGTATTAAGCAGCCTAAGCGATATTAAGTGAAGATGACGTACTTTCCCGTCTATGTTTTCTTTTTCACAAAAGTAGTTCCATGCTTGGTGGATGTAACTAGTTGTTTTACTTGCCTAAAAAAAAACTCAAACAAACACGTAGTGAAACTACTATTCTTACCTCTGTCTGAGTATGAGTGCACGTCCGAATCATTATCAAAAGCCATAAGCAATAGAAAATAAAGTCACAGATTAAGTAAGAATAATAAAGTGTTGACCGTGTTGTGCCTTCCAAAAAAGGTTTTATGAAAAAATACAAACAACAAATAACGTATCCAAACCATAGTACCATGGACAATATGGTACTAATATCAAAAAGCTTGGTAATTTCGACTGTCAAATGGACTAAGTTGTAGTGGAGAAAGGATAATTTTTCGATGCAACTAATACTCGAGAATTTATCATTTTCTTTTAATTCTTTTGATCGTTTATTCTTATACAAGAAAAAAATCTTATTGGTACTTATACGACGCAGTTCTCTTTCGAGTTCTTTATTGATGACAGTAAACTGACTACAGATAATATCCAACACATTACTCAAAAATAAGTGGTTCAGGAAACATATACCTGGTGGCACCTTATAGTACATAATATAAAAAACTGGCCACGAAAACAGGTACGGAACAAAACAAGATAATAAAATCAGTAACGTAAGAACTAATAATTTTAAACAGCGTTCTTTTTGTTCGTGTACCCTTTCTAGTTTGATTTCGTCCAACTTTTTAAGCAAGATTTTGAGTTTATTGCTTCTGAACATAAACACCACCATACACGTTAAGATGGCAAGCAGTGCCAAAAACGTCACTATCAATTCAGTTTTCAGTAAATCGTGTTCTTTTATGACAACGAATATTTTTATTAATTCCACACAGCAATAGCAGTAAAAGAAAAATAACGGCAGGGACCACAGGCGCGGAAGAATTTGTAAGAAATAGTTTTGGGGGCTTTTACACGTAAACTGGACAATTCCAAAAGGACGATATATTATTCTAAGCCAAAGGGGGATATCTTCCAGAAGGCACATATTTACAACTGAAAGATTGATTTCTGGAGACGTGTTGTTGTCATATCGATTATTATTTGTTGATTTGTTTATTTACTTTATTCAGGGGCAATAAAATTAGGAGAACATAAAAACTGTCATTAATTTTATTTGTTATCACAAGTTAATTTTAAACTGAAGTAAAATCGTCACCTAGAAATGTTAGACCAAAAATTGACAATTCCGACCACAGATTATGCTTAGCTAAAAACGATAACAATGTTAAGTTGAAATAATATCAGAATCGCACCGATTAGTTTATTTTCAAAATTTTTGCCTCACTCACATTAAAACTGAAATAAAATGATTACGTAAGTGGCGACGGCAGCTACCATCTGAAACAGCACCCATTTTTTTTTAGAAATTTCAGCAACTAGTGTAGCTACGTACCGTGTGGCAAAAAGTCTCATCAAGATAAAAAAAGCTGTTAGCAGTTAAATATAATTTGTTATTTAATAATCTTAGGGACACCAACTCGAGGTGGTATATTTTTCGATCTTTGTCTTCGGTTTTAGAACATCCGTTCCACAGATCGTGAACAAATGCAGATGTTTCGTTCGCCTGGAAAAATCTATATCAAACATTAGTAAAATCGATCATTGTAGTACCTCTTTTTGTACACGACTGTACATTCGAACCATGATCGGAAGCCACAGAAAAAATAAAGACGCGTTCGTACTAATAAATATCCAGTCTTGTAATGAAAGTTTGCTGCCAGCCGTAGTCTGTAGAAAATAATAGATGATGTCGGTAACGTAGACGAACCATGTTATCATGGAAGCCACTGTGGTAATGCTAAAGAGTTTGTTGATGTTAAAGACCAACGAAACTAAATCGCAGTGACGAAGAATCACTTCTTCAACCCTACGTAGTGTAAAATCTATTTCTTTCTTACTCTGTTGTTGAATTGTGCCATCTGCTGTAATTGTAATAATTCGCGTAAATAGGGCATGTCTGCTCAGTTCTTCGTTGATTATCGCAAATTCTGCACGGACAGACTCCAAAATTTCATTTAAAAATAAATGATCAAAAAGACCCACCGTTACAGGCATGAAATAATATACTTCGCGAATAAATACAGTCGGAAAAATGAGGGAAAGAAGGACGTGTAGCAGAATTATCACAAGACTAATATTTTTTAGATAATTTTTTTGTCGGATTTCGTGTAACGAATGCGATTTAAGTTTGTCGAGGGTTAAAAGCAGTAATTTTAGTTTACTGCTCCTTAATCCGAATAATAGTAGGGATGTTGTAGTTGATAAAACACCCACGGAAGATATTATAAAATCCACTTTCTGTACTATCGTATTTCTTAACATAAACTTAATCGAATAATATGAATAACAACAATAACCATAGAGAATGAACACTGGGATGCAGTATATGCGAGGAATGCATCGCGAGAATGAAGTAGGAGTCTTATACGAGAACTGGACAACACCGAGAAGTCTATAAATTGTTCGCATCCAGAGAGGGATATTTTCTACGATACTCATATTGAAATGAGGCAATATTAAGTGTATTACCAAAAGTATTGATTAAGTCTGTGTTTATTTTAGCCTTTGTTTATTTTACGCATTGTCAGAAGTATTGTTATAACTTACTAAAGTTATGTGAGCCGAATAACATTTTTTTTTACTTTATACCTAGGTAGATTTGACTCCGACATAGTTTGCTTCATAAACTAAGCGAAACTAAAACTAGTAATTTTTCTAACATCAAACTTTTTAAAATTAAAAGATCGCAAACAGTACTATATTGCTGCACTAAGTGAGTATTAAAAACTGCTAAAACCGAACTGGACCAAAATCACCACGTATGTTACAATCGCCGCCAACATCTACAAAAATCTCTTGTTACAAAAACACACACATTTAAATCTCTTACAGTATGGAAAAAGGTTTCATCCAAACTGAAAAAATTTCTGGCTGTGAAACTCAACTTAGTGTTAAGCATCCTAATCGAGATCAGTTGCAGATGACGCGTTTTTTCGTCCAGACGTCCTTTCCTATAGTACTGATTCCATATTTGGTGAACATAGGCAGAAGTCTTGTTCGCCTGAAAAAATTCCTTAGGCCAGAAATCCGAAATCGAAACATTACCTCTCTTTGAGTGCGGCTGAACGTGCGAATCAGAATTAAAAGCCACAAATAAAAAAAAAGTAGGTTGGTTGTTAAGTAGAAAGTTGCTGCGAAATCTAGTGTGTAACCATCGACAACGGTTTCCATAAACTGATACGTGAGGATTATGACGTAGCCGAACCACAGCATCATGGATATGATGATGGTAATGTCAAAAAGTTTGTTCACTTGGTGGAGTTGATGGACCAAGTTGTAGTGAAGAAAAGACAACTGTTCGATTCGTAGAATACTGAAAGTCTTGTCGTTTTCTTCAAGTTGTTTGATTTTTGAGATTTTTGTTAGAGGAAAAATGAGGTTTAGATCTGTACGGTTGATGACTCGTTGCAACTCCCGGTTGATGGTACTAAATTCAGAGCGAACGGCTTCTAGAATGTCGGTTAGAAACAGATGGTTGAGGAACGCCATTCCTACTGGTATCATATAATAGGCATAAGTAAGATAAAGCGATTTATCCCAATATGGCAAAGAACAAAAATTTGACATCACTGTAATAAACAATGATGTTTTTATCCAATCTCTACTTTCTGTTTGGGTTGGAAGTGAAAAATGTATTTTTAATTCGTACAACTCCTTAAGCATCTTTTTGAGTTTGTTGCGTCTTAAAAAAAATATTACTGTAGATATTACCGAAGAAGAAATAGTCGCAGTTGTGATTATCACTTCGACTTTTATAAGATTTGATTCGACCTCGCTGACGAAGAAATAAAACAATAGGACACTGCAAACGCAGTAGAAGGAAAATAACACGAAGGACCAAAGGAGACAAATAAACTGGAGAAGTGAGTTTGAAGGGTTTTTGCAGGAACAAGTGAACTGAATGACGCCATGAAAGTGGTAGATTATTTTAAGCCAGAGGGGAATTTCTTGCAGCAGACACATTTGTACGAGTGAGCTCAGTATTCACAAGCTTTTGCGATGATGATGGAAGACATCGATTTAATTTGGTTTAAGTTTGTTTATCCAATTTACTTAATAAGAAAATGGTGGACAAATATAACTCCAATCAAAACTGCGCCGTTTTCTGTTTTGTTTAATACTTTATGTTTCTTTCGTTAAAACTGTAGTCTGTTGTAGCGATTCTAATAAGATCCAAAAATGGGTATTTTGCCTTTGGAGTTTTTGCAGTCTACGGATGCTACTAGTTCTTTGGGTACTGTTAAGAACCATTTTCCATCAATAATTTTGGTGATCTGAATCTGCTCAAAACGAATTTTGAATGGTTGGCGCGAAGTTGTACTATTCGATCGAAAATTAATAAGTTTTCCCCGATGTAAACTTGATGTGAAGGTACTCTTGACTTTGAAGTTGGATACAAATCCGGTCCGTGTATGAGTATTTTTCGTCGCTGAGTGCCAGGAAGGGTTTATACGGAATATTTAAATGAAATTGGAATTCGTTATGATGTATTGGTACGGGGTACAGGCGGTAATAATAGAAAATTCCTGATTCAACTAATGGTACTTCTAAAATAAACGTAACGACTGTTCCTTTAGAACAACTTTTGATTTCAATTATCCTTTCAAAATTTAAAATATGTCTTATGGTGACGTACTTATAAAGGTAATTCACTTAGTGTTAAGTGGTTTTTAATATTATTCATTTCATTTAATAATTCTGTAGGATCAATTAAGTATTAAAGTCTATTAAGTTGGGCAAAGGTTATTGCTACATTTATTTTGTCTAGTATATTGTAAATCATTTGGTACATCACAATAATTTGGTTTATAATTGAGTGAATTCCCAAACTCTCGTAAACTTTGCTTTCTTGAAGAGTTACATCTTTAATCATTTTTTCGATTGACATGACTTTTGGCTTCAGAGCCACTTGATTGTGAGAAGTTTTAGGAACAAAGCCGTTAAACTTGTTAATCGCATTTTCCAGAAGAGTTACCTGACGCAAGGTAACATTTTAAAATTTATTTTGGTTCTCCTGCAATTCTTTAATTTCCCTGTCGTATTGATCTGCGTCGTTTTGATCTAAATTAGCCGTAATGTATTTATTATTATTATTATTATTAATATTATTATTAGACAACATGTCAAACCCACTTACAGACCAACAGTGCGATAAGAATCAGCGATCCACAGCGGAAAATCACTACGCCTCCAATTTGGAGAAGGCATGATCCTTACCGAAGAAAATAAGATAAGAAATGTAGATTTAAAAAAATGGACAAATTTGGGAATAATCAGTTCCTTTAACAGCATGTAAAGGGGCGGAGAAAGGGTCAATTTTATTGTGAACACAATTACAATACGACACATTGAGAGCAATGGCGAAAATTTGGCAACATCTGTTTTTCAAGCCGTTAGATGAAATATTGCAGGGTGACGAGATATTATACTCCTAGGGCCTACATTAAAATCTAGTTGCTCTAAAATTAGGGAGCAATCAATGCAATTGTGTAAAAGTTTAAATAGGAAGACAGCATAGAATTTTTTACAAGTGTCCATAAAACTAGAAATATTGAAACGGTTCAAAAGACTAGACTGTGAAAAACCAATAGGGGGATAAACACCATGCTTGCGATAAGTCAGATATTTAAGAAATTTTCTTATAATACCTTCCAGTTGAGCTCCATGGGCATTGTAGTGGGGACACCAAATTATGCATGCATAATATATCTTGCTTTCAATAAACGCATTATAAAGCCGAATAATTGTGTTATAATCTTTAAAATCTCCAGAATTTCTGATAATAAAGCCTAAAGTTTTAGTGCAATCAGTGACCACTTTATGTATACGGTCAACAAATCAGAGCTTGCAATCAAACACATTTCCAACATCTGTAACCGTCTGGGGACTAACTAATACGACCGTATTGAGTTTCTAATCAAAACTGATTATTTCTCGTTTCAAGCCAAATGACATGACAAAACATTTGTTTTTATTTAATAAAAGTCTGTTTACAGAAGACCATATCAAAATCTTGTTTAAATTTTGCTGTAACACAATGCAGTCTTTAGTTGTACTGATTCTACTATCTATTTTGTTGTCATCTGCATAAAGAGCGTATTCAATATCCAATTCATTAGTAATGTCATTAAATAAGAGTAAAAACAGAAGGGGACCCAGGACAGAGTCGTGTTCTAGTTCTCGTCTCTCGTGCATGTCCGCCATTGTAAGCAGTATGACTGCTACAGAAGCATTAACTGTAAATTATCCGAATTCTGGAAATAACCAGTTGCCCTGGTGCCTTGTGTGTGTACCTGAAGAGGAGACAGACAACGCCAAGAACTTTTATTAGATCGTAAAGAGATTTTTTAATATTAGCTGGTTAGGTTTATCATTAATAATCTCGTCAAGAACTGGTATATCGCTTAAAGTATCGGGCGTATTTGTACTGTGAATTGCGCGAAGAAATTCCGGTGTGACGGACGGTGACGGTCCGGAATCTCGCCGATAACGTGTGGTGGCGGCGTACCTGGGTGCCAAGTCTTAGGCAGACTAGTGTCGCTGATTTAAAAACACGTCTGGCCGACCTAAGCCTATGGGGCGACCTTCACGCCGCTCGAGCGCCAGCTCCGTCTCCGGGGTGAGGGAGCGCCGGGGTTGCTCTAAAGCCGGAGACACGGATATCAGGTGGTGAGCGCCCGCGAAAACAAAAGAATAAAATAAAACGGCAAGGAATATTTTAAATAATAATCGGGTTGATTCCCTGCCACCAGTTACACGGCTAAAATAATAATTTTACAGCTAAACTTAAATTAAATAAATACAAAACGGTTTCAAAAACAAAATTAAATTAAATTACTGGCACGGAAATCGCGCGAGGACGTTACGGCGACCCGGGAAAGGAGCGCGGTAGCGGTAACGACGAGTGCATGACGGTCTCTATTTGTGACGGCGATGACAAAAAAACCGGTGACGGTGGTATGGTTTTACGCTTGGGGGCGGCGATTCCAAAAACCGATACTTAACCGGGAAGACGACCCAAAAGGTACTTACGGTGGTCGGACGGTCGAACTGCACTTCTGCCACACTTTCCAAAACTCAAAACACAGCCACAGAGTTTCATCTGCATCCTATGCGTTTAAGTTATTACGGTCGAAATATTGTTCTAAACACTTTCTGATATCATCGTCAATATTGCCAGGACTATTAATAATAATTGACTCTGTTTCTAAAGTGTTTCTGTTTTTACAGCGATAGAACGTCTACGTTTGAATTTTGTTTTCCGCTTTTAGATAATATTGAATAATTATATTCCTCTAGTTTGAGCTTCCAACGCATAAGCTTCGAGTTGGGCTACTTCATGTTGAAGAGCCAAACAAACTAGTGATCTGTGGTAGGTATATATCTGAAATTTTATACCGAAAAGGTGCGGTCTAAAATATTTGGAAGCCCATACAATACCGAAAAGATCCTTTTCTATCGTCCGTCGAGTAATTTGGTTCGGTATCGTTAAAAGTGCGCGAAGCATATGCAATTGGATGATCCGTTGGTGGCATCCCTTGAGATAATACGGCGCCTAAAGCTACGTTCGACGCGTCAGTAATCAAAACAAATGGTTTCGAAAAATCGGGATATTTTAAAAGAGGGGCATTTATTAAAAGGTCCTTAAGATGATTGAAAGATTGATGGGCTATGTTCATTCAGCATTCCTTTTTAAGCAGGAAGTTAAAGGTTTTGTGATCTTGGCAAAATCTTGTATAAATTTCCTATAATAACCAGCCAAACCTAAAAATGATTTGATTTCCCGTTGGGTTTTAGGAACTGGGACATTTTTTATAGCTTCTACCTTGCCAGGATTCGACATAGCTCCATCTGTGGTAACTTTATGACCGAGATAAGCAACCTCCTTTTAGAGAAATTCGGATTTGTCTAACTGTATTTTCAAATTTGATTGTCTCAGTCTTTCAAAAATTGCTTTCAGTCTATTAATATGTCCTTGTAACGATGTGAAAAATACAATAATATCGTCTAGGTATACGAAACAAGTTTCGTTTTGAAGACCTCTTAGTATGTTATTCATAACCCTTTGAAATATCGCTGGGGCGTTCTAAGCCGGAATGGCATTCTAAAAAACTGGACATGTCCCGCTTCAACTGAAACGGGACGTTTTTGGCACATCTTGCGGATTCATCTCTTATTTTTGGTGAAAGCCAGTCGCTAAATCTACCGTGGTAAAGTACTGTGATCTACCCAGTTTATCGAGAATGTCTGAAATATTTGGCAAGGGAAATTTGTCATCTACTCTTTTCTCGTTTAATTTACGGTAATCTGTTACTATTCTCCATTTCTGCTGCCCCGAGACATCCAATTTTTTTGCGACAACCCATATAGGACTGCTCCAAGGAGAATTAGAATGCTGAATAATACCATTATCTAACATTTTATTTATTTGTATGTTGACCTCCTTTTTATAGACTTCTGGATATCTGTAAGTCTTCGTAAAAATAGGTGTTTCGTCTGTTATATTCATTTTATGTTTTATTTGATTAGTAAAAGTTAAAGGGGTTCCGTCACAATAAAAGATATCCCTGTACTCATAACAAAGATTTTTAATTGCATCGTATTCTCCTTTATTGTCTAATGACCTAACCGTAAATTTTTTAAATTTTGTTTAATGTTTGGAATTAATAATTTCTGCATCGGTTTTTTCTAGAAAATTAATTTGAGATTCCTCGATTGGCTAGGCGTTTCTAAAGAAAACTGAGTGAAATTTATGTTTGCGCATTGGCGCAAAAATCTAGACGAAGGAGTCCATCAAATTTTGGTGAAAAATCAAATAAATAGAATTTGTGATATCCAGTTGTTTTAAAAGATGGAAATATTGGGATTTACATAACTTCATTGTGAATAGAAGTGGCATGCGCTGAGTGTATAGAAAAGGTTCCATTATGGATAAAATATAAATAAAATTGATATGCAATTTGTGGTCTAATAAAACTTTTGCTACTGCCTGTATCCACGGGAAAGTTTGCATTAATGTCCGGAATTGAAAGCATAGAAAGAGACTTAGGCCAATTCTATAAATATGTTGTAGACACTTTAATTATTTATTAAACTATTTGCTGAAGATATTTGTTTGGTTCATTAATTAAAGTGAAGATGAGATTGAGATAGTTATAACAATAGACATATGTACCTACGTTTGTTATGTTAAGTAATTGGAGCAATTGGTATCGAAATATTAAAAAAAGAAGTTATCGTTATTACGTTTTCCAACAGAACATTCTTTAAGCTTCCTAAATCAATTTTGTGATGTCGAATCAACAAAACAATTAATTATATTTTTTTAAGCCCTACTTTACTAATAACAAAACACACATAACAAAAGTGGCAGTTAATCAATGTTTTGTAGATTTCTACATACAACCACACCATGTGTCTCCTAGAGAAAATTCCTCTTTGGCGAAAAATAATTTTTCGTCTTCTTGGCGTTATCCAATTTTCCTGCACTTCCACTGCGTTTTCGAGTTTCATGTCGCGCGTGTGGTGTTTACCAGTATTCACCATCTACTACTATTACTCCTTCTTGTGGATGTCTTTTTTGTCGAAACAAATAAGTTCGACATTATTAATAGTTCATGCAGTTATTTCCAGCGTTGGTACTGTCTTCATGACAACATCTCTAGTGTCTTTTTACTACAGATCTAACAAGCTGAAATCACTTATCTTAAAACTCAACGTCATTGAAGACAAATTTCCACCGCTTTTTCAACAACAAGAGAGAGATTGGTACAAAGTCTTGATTATTCTCATAACAATTTTGGGTATCCTTCTAATCCCAGACTTTAAAATGAGAGACGTTTTTGTTGTTTATTATTTAATTCCGGTAGGAGTTGCATACCAAAATCATGTCTTCTTGGAAACAATTCTAGAACGGATTCGTTGTCACTTTAGAAGTATCAACCAGCATCTAGAAAAACAAATACATGCTGTGGATTTATATGAAATATTCCCCTTTTCTAAAGATTCGAAAATTCAGCAGTTAAAAGAAAAAGAAAAGTTTTCAAATCTGTGTCAAATCCACGAGTTGTCACATCTTCATTACGACTTAGTACAACCATGGCCGACTAGTATAAAGATTATGGCCTGTCCAAAGGAATGTCAAAGGTACATTACGTGCTGCCATCTATTAATAATTCAAAAACGACAAAAGAATTATTAACACCTTTTGAAAGGCACAAAGGCATTCATACCGAAACAAACCACCATTACACGTTTTGAAGTCCCATAATGTCAAGTCAAATTAAAATTTTGCTAAATTATTAAGTGTAATTATTAATAGATGGCAACACGTATCGTACCTCTTGGACAGGCCATAATCTTTATACTAGTCGGCCATGGTACAACTAGCAATCGACGTCAGCAAAGTCTTTGACGTTATCACCATAGCTTCCATGGTATTGTGGTTTGGATACGTCATCGACATGATCTACATTTCGATACGTAGTATGCTAGAGCTAAAAAGTTTTCGATTGATAGTTCTATGCTCACAGATGTTGAATATATCCTTCTTTTTTGTGTGGTTGTTAATCGTGGTTCGCATGTATACCCGTACGGAGAAAGAAGTAAGTAAGAGAGGAATTTTCTTATATTTTTCACTGTATCGTCTTCCAGGCGAATTTGGCAATACGAAACGTCCATCAAATATGGAACAAGTACTACTCGAACGGAGATATAGATGAAAAAATGCGAAATCTTCAGTTGATTTCGCTGAGGATGCTAAATACCAAGCTGCATTTCACCGCTAGAAATTTTTTTGCTTTAGATCATACTTTCTTTCACATGGTATTTTTGAATTTGTGCTAAGTGGAGATAATTCTTTGTTGGTTATTTGCAGATGATAGGAGCGGTTACGACCTACTTGGTGATTTTGATACAGTTTCGAGTTTAAGAACACTTGGATTCCCAATAAGCACTTTTTAGGAATTGAACAAGAGAAACTGTGAATTGAACTTACATTAATAGAAGCTGGACTGTTTATTTAACAACTTAACTACTACAAACTATTGCGAAATAGTTAAATTCTATTCCGTCTTGCACTTCCTTCTGAACATCACGTGGATTAAGTAAACTGAATCGCAATCACAACATATGTTTTTACCACAGCCACGAACTGGAAAACCTCGTTAATAAAAGGTCCCAAGAATTTTTTGTACTTAACGTATGCTCTAAATGCTAATGCATAATAAACAAAAAAAAAATTTCTGGTCACCATCAGGCCTTGGATGGTCATTTTCTAAGACATAAGTAAAATAAAATCGCGATGTTAAACATACAAAAATAAAGGCAAAATATAAGCCCCGCCCACCCACCCTATCTCAATTATGATGATTTTTTTTTACTCGTCGTGAGCCGGAGGACAGATCTTAATTGCAAAAATCCTTATTTTTTCTACAAGAAATTGCTATGTTCTTAAATAACCGAGAACACTAATGTGCATTAAGCCAAAAAATTATTTAATAAAATATTGACACTATGTTTGATATTATAGTATTTGTTATTCTTTGTGCCAAGAATCTCTTGAAAAAAAACTGTGTACATAAAGAAAAAAGAAACAAAGATTAAGCCCCACCCACCCGCCCCGGTCTCAATTGTGATGAGTTTTTCATTCCTAATCAGACCGAGCGGCGGAGATCAATTGTAACATCAATATTTCCCTAGAAAATTCTACCCTTTTAAAAACATATTGCATATGGTAGTTTCTTGTCGAGAAAATATTCATCACAATTGAGAAGGGGTGGGTGGGCGGGGATTATATTTTGCCCATTTTTCTTAATATACGAAGACTTTTTTTCCCAACAAGAAACTGAAAACATGTTACCTATCATTCTGTTATTGATATAAAACTCTATATTAAATAAAACAAAGATTAAACAAGAAAAGACGGCTACGTAAATTAAGAAAAAGGGCAAAATATAAGCCCCGCCCACCAGTCCTATTTCAATTGTGATGAATTTTTACCCATACCTGCCCTGATCTAAATAGTAATGAAGTTTTCATTCGTTGGCAGACCTAGGGGCGGAGCCTAATTGCAAAATCCTTCTTTCCTTACAAAGATGTATGATTTTAAACGTGTTTTAGGGTTCTAAGAATAAAAAAAAATCATCACAATTGAGACGGGTTGGGTGGGAGGGGTTTATATTTTGCTTTGTGAAATATCTTCTTAAGTAATCGTGTTATACAAAAAAAAAAAAAAAAACTAAATAAATGGATTAATTAAAAAAGAAAACCAAAAGAGAAGCCCCACCTATCATCTCGATCTCAATCGTGATGAATTTCATTCGTTGTTAGACCGAGGGGTGAAGCGCAATTGCAAAAACCATATTTATCTACAAAAATATATCATTTTAGACATATTTCAAGTTGCTTGTGGTAAAAAAGGCTACGTATATTAAGAAATAAACGCAAAATGTAAGCACCGCTCACCCGCCCTATCTCAATTGTGATGCTTTTTTTTTGTGTTTGTTGTGAGCCGGGGGACGGATCTTAATTGTAAAATCCCGATTTTTCTACAAGAAATTGCCATGTGAAACATGTTCTTAAGTAATCGAGAAAACGATTTGACAGAACGTTACTCAGCTTAAAAAAATTGCGACAGATTTTACGTTACAATTTTGAAGCTAAAGTAATATTAAAAGAAAAGAATAAAATTACAATAATTGTATTTAAAATATATAATAATTCTCTAACAGTTCAGACAAAAATTTTGGAGACATTGCTTTCACTTTTTATTATACAATTATACTTATATATTTACGACTGTCAAAAAGCGGGGAAATTCGAAGAAAAATGTTGGAACTGTTTCTGATTTTAAAAGTGCAGTAGAGACATCTGTAGTAACCTTACTTGGGGAATTAAATATTAAAAATAGCCACATATTTTTGTTTTTTCTTTTTAGTCGATTTTATTTACATCACGTTACCAGCAAAATTTCAGCGATTATAAACATATTATATAATAATAACGTCGTTTAATGAGAAAAGTTATTTTAGAAAGTGTGCGCTTCAATCGAAAGACTCCACGTAAGGTTTATTAATATTTTTGTACATAACGTTTCTGTTGAACTACTGCTAAGTAGAAAATAATTGGTCCTGTGCGATTCAACTACGATCGAACGATAACAATTGCCAAGGACGTTTGAAGCGAGCATTCTATACGCGACATTAATTATATCGATCTGGAATAAAGTTTGGTCAAATATAAATTCTTAAACCTACAACTAGAGTCTCATCACCACGTTATATAGGTACATACTTAGTGTTAAGCGCATTATTACGTAAGCAAATCGCTATTTGGTGGAAATACTCTGACATAATATAGCAATGTCTAATGTACCCTTATAGGGATCCTTAACACCTTAATTGACTGCTTTTAAGAAGTCTTTGAAAAGGTGAAACGTAATAGAAAAATGCTTCCGAAAAATAAAAAAAACGCTGTTTTGTTTTGTTTATTATCGTATACATAAGTGGTCCTCTTGAAGAAAATTCCACTCCCCAAGTCGTTTCATTTCTAAAAAAAATGCCCTAAAGTTACTTAGACGGAACTTCTCTCGCCCCTGAAATACATCCCAATTTCTTCGAAAAATAAAAAAATTAATTTGGGATTTTTTTTGACAAGCCCTATAACTTAAAATAATGATATATGCGGAATGCAGGCAAGGAAGCATATAGTGTGTAAATAACACTTCTGCACCCCCTACGCCACTGAGGGCGCAGTCCCCATAGCCATCAGCAGAGTCATATATTTTAAAGCAGATAACTATGTGGGAAAAATATACTTATATTATCACTTTATCGGTACATGCTTAACTTCAATTATTTATGTATATACTTACAATAGTGTTAAACCGGACATACATTTCATTTTCTGATACGCTGTTTCAACATAATCATAATACACGGTGTCAAAAAGGAGTATGTTCTAGCAGTTTTGACGGAAAAGGTAATGTTTTAGCACATGGCTTATTTCCAAATAATGATGAATGTCTAGGAATTCATTTTGATAAATCAGAAAATGGGTATATTGGTGGATCAGGCAATACTAATTTTTATACAGTATTATTACACGAAATCGGACATACATTAGGTATTGAACATTCTGCAAATAGTAATTCAATTATCTAGGCCTATTATAAGGGTGATATTGATAAACTAACCCAAGACAATATGTGGGCACTTCAATACTTTTATGGAAGACATGAACCATTAAAATATGAACTAATACCAACAACAACAATAGTTAAACCTACTGTAAGGCAAAGCGTCCCTGAAGGCCAGCCTAGAGGTGAAGCCGGAGCCGAAGATATATTTGGCAATTTATGTGATTTTAATAAAGCAATTGATACTTTTTTAATTGCAAATCATCATATGTATATTTTTTATAAGAAATAAGTTTGGTTAATCAAAAGACATGACCTATTGAACCGAAATTAATTAAACATTATTTATATTTTTTGCCAGATGATTTTCAAGAAATTTCACATATTTATCAAAGACCTTCAGGTGATGTTTTAATAGTTGTTAAAAATTTATATTATTTAATCGATTTTCCAAGTTTTAATGTTAAATGTGGATATAATGGTCAATCTATTGAAAATTTACGAATACCAGAAGGAAAAAGAATTGATGCAATATTTAGAAGTTATTCTAGAAAAACATAATATATATTTTACGATAAAGTCTTGTACATTGAGTTTGATGAGTGTTTGTTTAGATCAAAGAAAAATGGCCTTGTTTCAGAATTATTTGCTGGAATACCTCCAAAGATAAGCAGAGCATTGAGATATAGAAATTTATATTTCTTTAAAGATAAAATGTATTATGAATTTGATGATATTCCGAATACATTAGTTAAATCTGACAAATTTGACTTGACAGTTTTTTTATTTAAATATGGTTGGATCGATCAAATAATAAAACTAATTCGACGTCTTTATTAATAAGTCTTTTTTAGTAGTCTAATATGTGTAAATTTTTAACTCAGATTATTATGCCTAGTTTTCTTAGTCATTTTCCTATTTTCTATGCATTTTTTTCAACAAAAACCACAGTTTCAGTTGTTACGTCTGGGTCACATTTTTAAAGAAATCATAAAAAACAGGGTAGTTTTCCTTATTTTTGGCATAAAAATTTGGCTCACATTTTTAAAAAGACCATAAAAAATAGGGTAGCTTCCATAAAAAATTAATGTTTCGATGGATAAAATGGACTTAACAGGCAATTTTCTTATTTTTTTGTGTTTTTGAAAAGACTTCAATGGACTATTTTTCAAAGTCCACAAACTTCAACGACTAAAACTTGAAAATCGACTCATTTTTCTAAAAGTTGATGTTTTTGGGAAAATCTGAGTTAGAAAAAAGGGCTTAAAAATAAGGGTAGAAAGTTAAATTCAACGTTGTTTTTGATGTTTTGATAGAAGTACAAGTTTTTGTTGAAAAAAAAAATGCATAGAAAATAGGAAAATGACTAAGAAAACTAGGCATAATAATCTGAGTTAAAAAGTTACACATGTTAGACTACTTATTTTTATTGTAAATTTGTAAATTTTGTTTTAAATAACATAAGGTATAAAGCACTTAGGTAATCATTTATACAGATTCGTGTGGTATTTGTCGTGCTTCTTTGGGTATTTAGTAAAGCACATAAAGTGATGGGCGGTACGCTTCCATGACTTTTTTCGGCCCTATAATCATTTATAGAAACCGTGTATAAGTAATGTTATTAAAATTGAATAAAAGTTGTAACGGAACCAAACTGAGCTAAGTAAACCAAGATTTAGAAAAACGCAAAACAAATCCTCAATGTGACTTTCGTTTCTTTGGTAAGAGTCAATTCTGTACATAGAAGATCTTCCAACACTTGCAGATATTTCCGGACTAAAATATGACCCACA